AGGGCATCGCTATTAGCAACAAGAAGCTACTAGTAGCAAAGGGCATCGCTACTAAGTGGGAAACGATTGGTCACCAGTGACGGTGGCTGTGGGTCATGGCACCGGAGTTGCCGGTTTCATCCTGGTAGGTTGACCTAGTAGTCTATTGATTCTATTGTGTTCAATTTTGAGGCCCAACCAAGGTTTCCCGGTTTTGACCCATAGCCGTATATAGCCAGGTGAAAAAGAACGAACACCTAATTGGGTATGAGTTTGTGGGCCCGTTCTGTTCTGACCAGAATCGAACCAACCCCCATGGCTGTGCCCTTTGGCAAAGGATCACATTTGGAGGCAACTGACCCAGAAACTGTTGCCTCCTTCTCTGCTTGGCCCTTACTTGGGGCATCCCAACCTCTACTCCTGGCTTTCCCTCTTTGTCGCCATGATTACAGGGCTGGCCCTCCTCAGCTCGTGCCCTAATGTCATGTAGCTTGGAATATCTACGATGTTTCATGGCTGGGCGCTTCACATCTGCACTTCCCTGCTCTGCTGAGTGTCCTCAAAGAGGCACCATAACGTGTGCCGTACTTGCCGGTGATGCCGACCTTCTTGGTGCGCTTGGCCATGGCGGTTGTGGCGGAGCACGGGAGCTTCACACTTGAGCCTTCCCCTGATCACGAGCAACTCCTGTGAAAATGGATGCCTCCAAAGGAGGAATAAATTGTGCCTGTGCTGTGTATACAATAGCATATGTCACATTGGCGGCCTGGTGGGAAGTCCTGTCATGAACATAGTATTCTGGCACTGCCTCGACTTCATAATACCCTCTGAAAGTGTGGCAAAGTCCAACTATCACGGAGAAAAAGAGGCCAAGAGACCCACCTCCCGCAGTCAGGCGTCCAACGCAAACACGAGGACGAGCCAGTCAGAGGGAAATCAATCAAGGGTTTGCGGTTTCATAGTGTCACTCTGGTACTTCAGACTCGTTGACGCACAGGTCCCCGTCACCTTTTCCACCACAAGCATTGGGGCTCATCACGGTCACTCCTCCACACCACCTGAAAACAATGTTTACAATCCACGACAAGCACAAGGAGTGTCTCACAGACAATTTCAAAAGCGCTCAAAGACACTATCACTGACCATAGTCACTGTCACCCAAAAGGAGCCATAATACCCACCTTGCTTCCAACCTCTAGTGGATGCTTCTACACCTAGTCAGACCCATCTATGCCAACGTCCAACTTCTCCCTGCATCCATGCCATAATCTTAGATTGTGTCATCCGATTTATGATGTTCGATGTAGTAGTAGCATGAAGTAGCTCAGCGCTCTTTTGAAGCCTGTCGATCTTGTACTGCGGGGCACACATAGCGAGAATCATTCAATCAGTCAAAGAACAGTTGATCCGCATCTCAAGCCAAAATCTTGTCACTTGAAAAAGGCTATGTAGAAGACCCACATAACCTCACAAGGCTATGTTAGGTATATGCACGAAATCTACCATGTCAAGATACGTTGCCGCACGTGGCTTTGAGGTCTGAAGCTCTAGGGTCCGGGCCCTGCAGCTGCTTCCTCAGACGTGCGATAGTCGCACGCACCGTGGCGGCTGGGCCCGTGCTCAGAGTCCAGCAGCCGCCAGCCATGGTCCTGCACACTGTTTCAAGTGTCACAAGGTATCATATTGACCGTTTTGAGACTTTTAATCTCACGAGGTGTTCAAACCACACCCTGGGATCACACGATCAAAACATTTGCTTTGCCAAAGCACCATCCCTACAGCACGCATGGACAGCAACTAAGTAGCATTCATGATAATGATTATGATTGTGATGATGATGATGATGATGATGATGATGATGATGATGATGATGAACATGAACATGATCATGGTCATGGTCATGGTCATGGGGATGATGTTGATGATGATGATGATGATGATGATGGTGGTGATGATGACGATGGTGGTGGTGGTGATGATGATTATTATTATCATGATCATGATGATGACTAAGATTATGCTTTTTTATGATGTTGATTGCCATTGCAAGTGAGGTTCATGAACACTGAACACTGGGCTCCTGTTGCAGGTCTTGGATTTGCATTTCCAGATTCCACCCGCCACGCGCTTCACGTTCTCCTGCTCATGGTTGTGAGAATTACGTAGTTGATGCAAACGTTAACTGCAGGACCATCAATAATACATTGAATCTTGGACATACTACTACTACTACTACTACTACTACTACGACTACTACTATTACTACTACTACTACTACTACTACGACTACTACTACTACTAACTACTACTACCACCACGACTACTACGACTACTCCGACTACTGCGACTACTGCGACTACTGCGACTACGACTACGACGACGACGACGACGACTACTACTACTACTACTCCTACTACTACTACGCCTGCTGCTGCTGCTGCTGCTGCTGCTGTCTATATTATTTATGATGCATAATATATGCACATCATGCATCTGGAAAACACAGTTGTAATCGAACTACTGCAGTCGCCGTGGCCTTGCCGCAGAAGCTGCACATGTAGCGAGCACGCTGCTGAATCTCGTAGCGCTTGATGATCTTCCTGCAATATGTCGGTGCGTGCCAAAATACCAAGACGCACTACTAGTGAGCTGGAAAACTATATTATAACTTACAACTTTGCAACAAAATAGATTAAAATACATTGGGAAAATGCCCTCATCTTGGGAATTTGGACGAGACCAGTTGGAACGTCGATTTGAGAAAGCCAGGCCAGGGCACTCCACCATGTTTTCTCAAGCACTTCTAAATCTTTCAATCTCATAAAATATAACCAAAATCCATTGTTTCTGGGCACCAGCAACAACACAGCACAACAGGAATTCAACTGCTGGGCATCTTAAGCCACCAAAAACATCAAAAAACATTGGAGGATGCACTACCCATCAACGCATATCGACCCCCTTCAAGAAGTCTTTGGTAGCTGCTGGTCCTCAGGGAGGCGCCGTAGCGGGTGCCGTACTTGCCGGTGATCCCAACCTTCTTTGTGCGCTTCGCCATGGTGATCCGACAAAGGCAATCGCGTCACTTGAGCCCGAGCTACACCCATTGCGGGATTTGGAAGGAAAGAGTTGACAAAAGCTGTTGACCGAAGGTTGCAAGCCTTTCGTACCATGGAGCAGTTAGGTACCATCAAGCACCAATGCAATGCTCCTTTGGAAAGCTGGAGACCTCTGTGGGTAGGGTGTTGAGGAAAGGTCATGAAATGTCATGCAAAAAGAACTTGAACCAACAGGTGGCTTGGACAGCCAGCTACTGTTCCGGCATACTTGCCACGCGGAGCTGTGGTGTGTACCACTGGCAATTTCTGAGCTGCCCGTGCTTCTTGCAGCTCCTTCGCAGCTTTTGCCTGAGCCTCTGATGTCAAGAGAGCAAAGCGGTCTTGCACAAGCGATGTTGTGAAAGGCCAGAGATTGCTCTTTTTGTGGTACGGTCATGGCAGCACCAGGTCCGAATCCTTGAATCCGAATCTCTACTGGAGGCCATTGCATTAGGTTGGAGGCCATTGCCTGTCTTCACTCCCGCACCTCCTCAACGGCCTTTTGGGCCTGCGACAACTTTGCCTGGATGCAGACTGTCCGTCGGCAGGAGTTGGGGTACATCTGAGCACAACAGGAAATCGGAGCCCTGGCATATGGCAGCCTCCAAATGGAACCCTCTGAACCCCTGGCAGACCCTATGTTGAGGGTCTCCACGACGGTCTCCACAACTTTCTTTGCAGGCATCTGCTAGTCAAAAAGTTCGAGGGGCTTGCGCAAATCGATATAATTATGTACATCGAATTGAACGTGGGCGGTGCATGGCATTGCGGATAAGACCACTTAATGCGAAGCCTTCCACTGAGCAAACAGGACCAGTCAGTAAATTCATGTAATTCCAAGCCTCTTTGGCACTGGCTTGCCGCAACAGCTGCTGTCCCTTCTGCTCCGCTGTCTTTCCCTGGGCCAAAGCTGGTGTGACTTACCCTTGTCTTGCAAAAGCAAGCTATGTACAGTCCCATTCCTGTGTTGTTAATTTCCAGCTATGCGCATGTGGAAGATATCTTGATCCAGTCATATATGATTGGAATTCCAATGCAAAGAGATTCATGATGATTCATGACAAAGGCACGGGGCAACCAAAAAGAAGTTGCAATTATTTTGCAAACTGCGGGCATCTTATAAGTCTTCAACCAAACAGTCATCTTCCAGACCACACCACTTGGCAACGAAGCTCCCCATTTTGTGGCCTCCTTCAGCATGCCAGCCACACTAGCGATCTCTTGGTCCGCATGGCGCTTCTCCTGAACAAAGCCGGCCCATCGGCTTCGGGCTCAAGCAGCTTGGCTGCACCGAAGGTCGAGGCGTTTATTGTAGGCATGCAATACACGTGAGCATTTGGCAAGGGGTGGTGGTGGACGGTGGGGGATGGATGAGCCAGTGGATGGCTACCACAATTTATAGTCTTTGTGTTCCTGTATGGGTGTACTTGTGAAGCAACAAGTCTCAGCGATACTGAGTGCCAGAGAGCTTCGTAGAAATAAGACTGGTGCGAGCGGTCTCCGGATGCGTTCGGGCATTGGCTGCCGTATGTTTAAGGCCAAATAAACAGATCGATGCAAACTTTGGGACTCAAATCTTAAACCTTTGGCGAATGTCCGAGGCCCTTCCTTGGCCAAAATGACTCTTGCCAGCTAATCCGGCTCTCATTCCCAGTGCATCATTTGTGGGAGAGATATGGTTTGCACAGGGTCTGCGATGCTGAGTCACAGACAGCGGCTGCACTAGCAGCAATCTGCCTTGTGGCTGAATCACAGGCAAGATTTTATGTCACACAGCACGAGTCTTTCTTGGTTTTAACAGACTACTAATTAGCCATTCATGTCTTGGTACTCCAAGCAGGCATTCAAATCAAAGGACCAACTTAATAACTTGTGCGACTCAATGAGAACCAGCATCAATGCTCCACCCACCGAGTTTGGCAATGTAGAGGGTTCACATGGTGTCTGTGCTGTGCCGTGACTGTGTGCCAAATTGGACTACTACTTGTTTTGAGTCAGAAATTGCCTTACTTTCCACAGTTGCCTTTTAACTTTTTTGGATTCAAAAATTGGTTGGTCTAGTGACTACTCTCTAGTCAAGGGAGTCTAGGTACCTCCAGCTTTGACCATTTACCCACTTTCTCTGGGCTCCCAACTCGGCACTGGCCGCCTCACGCTTGGCCATTGCGATCTGCCTTCGCTTCTTGTCTTCGAGCGCTTTCACCTTGGGGGTGGGTCGGGAGTTGGGCGGCCGAGTTCTCTGAATTTGCTGTCCAACAAAAATGAAAGGCGACCATTCTAATACCAAACATTGTTCCTAGTGGCGATGCCAGGAGCCCCTAGCAGCGTCCGATCGCTCCTAGTAGCGATGCCCTTTGCTCCGTTCGTAGCGTCCTGCTCCTAGCCCCGGTAAAACGCGTCGCTTTTCTCTTTTCGGGCCCAGCCTCACTGCTGGCATGGTGAACCTCAAATCGAGCCGACCGATCACCTAAGGGTGCTCCGTTCGTAGCATCTTTACTCCTAGAGACTCGAGACCCTAGATGTAGCGATGCCCTTTGTTACTAGTAGCATCCTAGTCCAAGTATGGTGCCAACTTGCGGTGAGGCTCCAAGTCTTACTCTTACCGAAAGCTCTAGTATGATCATGATCTAGTTATCCCGTCCATCTAGTCGATTGCTGCACATCGAAGAGTCTTAGAAAATGTATACAGAGTATGCCTGATCCTCTAGGCTGCAAATAAAACATATCAAATGTACAGAAGCTCTTGTTGACGTATGTTGACGTTATGTGAAGCTGCCACCCCAGGTGTTGAACTGCAAATAATCCTATTCCGCATGCTTTATTGGCTAAGCAAAGTACTCAGTATGCGCTTGACTTGACTCTCAGGTTCCCACAGTGCTGGCCTCTTGTTTGGCCGTGTCCTGCCAAAGAATGAGGAGGAGAAATGGCTCAATGGAGACCCATGTGGTGTAATCCCGAGTACCTATTAATAAACACTCCCCAATTAAAAAAACCCCACGTCCGAACCCCTAAATTCGGTTTATATTTGGTTTTAAATTGCCGCCCTTTCAAGCCGCTACTAAACTACCAACATGGTCGACTTTGGGGGTAGTTTTTTTTATTAGGTTCCCCAAAAACAACCGTAACTGCCCACCTCTGTCCGCCCTGTCTATCCACCATGACACGCCGCGCTTACACCAGCAGGCTTTCCTTCCCCCAATGGCACGGACTCACGCAAACGCACTTGCCACCGAGGTCATGCAACACCGCATGGCACAGCGACATCACCTTTCGAAAGCTTTAGCTGTTAGTCTACCGAAGAATAACTATTCTAATGAAGGTTTTTGTAGGGGAAAAGGAAGACCCTTCGATCTGGAGCTTTTTTGCATTTTTGATACGAGTTTAATAAAGGATTTTATATAAAACTTTACGGATTTACTTTTTGGTTTTGAAGCTCTTCCCAGGTGACCCTATTTTGGACCCCCCGATTTCAGGGACCCCCTATTAAAAAAAATGCGACCGAGGTTTTTTTAATAGGGGGGAGGGGGGGGGGGGCCGTGTTTATTATTAGGGGGACGGGATTAATGAATTCAAATCGTTCAGTTTGGATGAAAGCAGTTCTCTCCAAGACCTGTCCTTTTCGTGGAAAGCCACTTCCAAGTCGTGCTTCGCTTCAGCTTCCATCTGACGCACCTGACGGAGACGAAAAAAGAACAGCAAAACACCGTAAACACCTGCGGATTTGGAAAGAGATACCATAGAAAGGAAATCCGATGAAAGGGAACTTTCTGTAATTTAGTGAATAGCTTTTAGCTCCAACTCCATGTCAAGGCGCCGCCGCCATTGCTTCCAACTCCTCCTTATGCATCTTCCTGGAGAACAAAAGAACATCCGATCTTTGCTTCAGTGGCAATTCGTCCGCCCGTTTCAGAGCTTCATTCCGTCTCCCAGAACTTGCGACAACGTGATCCTGTCTACCTTGGGCAACTTGTACTACCCAACAGCTTTCCACATCCTGAGTGCTTTGATCCACGCAAACAAGTCTCACACGAACCTTCGTGTTAGTGGGGCCTCCCGCCTCGAAAGAATTTCACCCAAGGAATTCCCCACGCCCAAATGGCGTCCTCAAGGCATTTTCAGAGACCTAGTGACCTAGCGGACCAGAATCTCAAGTCCGGCTTTGCCCACAACCAAGCCCTCAAGGGTCCCCGTCCTGGCAATGCCCATGAGGTGTTCAGCACGCTCCATCTCTCGATCCGCATGGGACTGGCCATGCCGGTGCTAGACCCAAGCGAGACCCTGTGTTATGCTCACCTGAAACAGCTTGAGTCCTGGAACTGGACAGCTAGAAAGAACATGGATATGACAATGGTATGTGCAGCATATACCTTCTAGCGTCATTGTGGGGCTGAAACACGCTGAAACACTACCTCAGCGAATTCGAGTTGGGGTTGTACATCTGCATGAGTTTGTCCAGACAACGTGGAGTCCGACAGAAACCGCCAAGAAAGAGATACAGTTCTGCTCTTAAACCAACAAAACGCGCTAAGTCTACAGTATCCAAATCTAATTAATGAATGTATAGTGTGGTTGTAAGGATTTGGAAGGTGTAGTGTGCATGGATTTGCATGTCTGTGCCCTCGAGCAAATGCCTTGGTACGATGGGCATCGTCGTCCATCTTCTCCGCTTTTTCCTCGTTGGATTGCGTCGAGACGTGAAGGCCCTAGCGATGCCCTTTCTCCTAGTAGTAAGAATGCTCCTAGTGGTGATGCCAGGAGCCACTAATAGCGTCCTTGCTCCTAGTAGCGATGCCCCTTGTTCCTAGTAGCTTCTTGTTACTAGTAGTAAGGCCAGGAGCCCCTGGTAGCGTTCATGGACAACGTATCACAGCTGTCTCCAAATGTCAGCCAGGGATGTCTTCAGCCACTCCTTCGCTCAAGGAACCAACCAGTTCAATGAACTGAGTTCTCTATCTAGAAGTATCTTGAGTGCCTGGGAGCTTTAGGACCTGGTCAAACTAAGAAAAACTTTGTCAAGGCGTCTAACTAGAGAGGGTACACTAAACTTGCTGCCAACCGCGCCTTCTGCCTTCCTTGGGCAAATCATATGGCGTTTTAACACCAACCATGAGCGCCCGCATGCGACAGCTTCACTCCCAATGTCATCCGCACGATTCCGAAGGGCTCAGCCGTTCGCTGAAGTCACAACCCCCACAAAGACTGCTCTGGTCCCTTTCAAAGCACCCGGGAGACATCCATGATCCATAAGTGCAGTTCCTTTCCAAAATTTCAACTTGTTTTAGCTTTGCAAAACTGGCTTGGCACCAAGGAGTAGACCCATAGTTGAAGAAACGAACCATTTGGTCAAGTTTGGTCGCCTGGAACCAATTGTCGGTACAGCATGGTATAGCACTTACAACCAGGCCAGCAACCATGGTCGCCAATACAGAAGCTACGCTGCGATGGGAGCATGGACTTGACACCATCTTTGGCCCACACAGCAAAGTGCCGGCTCTTCAAAGAACGGGGCTCAGCCGCCCAAAACGGGGCTAACCGAAAACTCACAGCACCATGAGAAACATCGCCAGGCCAACAGGTGGAGATCTCGTCTCGTTTCCAAATGGTCCGTTGCTGTCTTTCCTAAGGAACTTGTAAGAAGCCAATGGCAGTGGATCACAAGAGGCCCCTGGTTGACCGAAAATGAACCAATTCCTCTCTGTTCGGGATGTCAACCTTCCATGGTGTGTAGGCTAAAAATACAGATTTTGACCTGCCAATATGAAACGATAAAAGGGCAGCTAGGGAGAATGGCCGGAGCATCACGTGAAAAAGCCTTTCAGACCTCACGTCTCTCCCCTTCCCCCCGATGCATCGAAGACGCCACATCTGCATTGGCTTTTCGAGCCTTCTCCTCCTAGTAGCGATGCCAGGAGCCCCTAAAAGATTCTTGTTCCTAGTAGTACAGCCAGGAGCCCCTAGTAGCGTCCTTGCTCCTAGTGGCAGTTTCCTGACTTCTGACTTGCAAGATCTTCCAAGATTCAGAGAAAGAGTGTGAATCTTGGAGTCATCGAGTAAGAACATGTTAGAACAACATTGCACACTGTGTCGGTTATGAGGGTGTATGTGTGTGTGTGTTCCTTTCATTTTGTGTTGCTAATTGGAGACTATTGGCTATTGGCCTGAGTGCACTAGGTTTGAACGAATGACAAATACTGTACCAAAAAGAGCATTGTTGTGAAATCTGCCTGTCTTAATATCAGCATGCTTGGCCATCGCTATTACAGTAGGTTGGAAGCTTCCATCTGCATCTTCCATGGTATAGTCATCTTCTCCAAATCGACTCAATACAAGTACAGTATGTGTGGCCTCCTCTCTGAGGCCCTTGCTGCTGCTTCTGACTCCTTTTGAGCTCTCGCCATCTCCTGGCAGAATCCGTGGAAGAACAGGATCCATCTTGGCAAGCTAGTGGTATTGTTGCCCATGATAAAGAAATCAGCATTCAGGTACACCTGCTTTGTTTATCGTGCAGATTCTGTGAGTCTCCTACTCAAACACCATGGCGCACCTCATCAGCCTGCTGCCTCTCAGCCACGTTCTTCTTCTCCTCCTCGCGTTCTGGTCCCAGTTGACTCGGCTTTGTCTGAAATCAGGCAAAAGAACGGAGCAATGAAGCCTTCCAAGCACCGAGGATGATAAGCTGCCGGTGATTGACTGGAATCATTCGGAAAGCTTTTCAGAGTCCCGACCCTCCCACCGTCCTTCGCCAAATGATTTTCACGAGCTTGCCTTGAAGTTAGCCCGAAGAGTCAAATCGCACAAAGCTGAAGTGGACAACTCACGTTTCCAGGAAGTTTGTTCCAAAAGGAGATCAATCCTATGATATATAGTGAAAAAAAATGCTGAAGTTTGATGGCAAACGCCAAGTTCCTCCCTATGGCCTTGCAATGTCTCTGTGTGGCTGCATGTGCAGTATCATTGTCATGACGTGTCGTGGCCATTCCATATTACTGGGGGTTGAAATTGTATTTTGCACCAAGTGTAGTCTAGTGAAAATATGTTGATTATTAATCAATTATATAAAGTATATAAAAGTGTAAGCCATCAAATATAATATCATATACATCTTTCACAACTCCCCCTGGTTTTTTGTACCCTTTCAGAGCCCTGCTCTCGGAAACATTCCCCTCAATCAACTTCTGAGGCATCCAACACCTTGGCCATCTCTGCATCTGCGATCGACTTCGCATCCCGGATCGCTGCGTCCTTCTTCTCCTCAAGGATAGTAATATGAGAGAATAACAGGACCTCTTTATGGCACCCCTTTGACCTCTGGAAGTTACATGTTCCATTCAATTTTCAATCCACCACCGCATATCACCCCCCAAGAATACCCAGCAGTGCTGCAGTGCTGGCAGGCAGGCAACATAAATATAAGCTGGCATGCTGAGGTCTTCCAAATACCATGAAAAATGCCTTTCATGGCATACCTGTGACCTCTGGAAGTTACGTTTTCGATTATATTTCCATCCACCACCACATATCACCCCCCAAGAAAACCCAATACAAAAATTCTTTAAACATCAGACTTATCTGACAAAATACAAATACTTGAAAAGACAATAGCAGGGTTGAAAAATGTAAGTTGCCACGTTCCAGGTATTATGCTACATTAAACCACCTCCCCTCTAAAGTCACTATCCGCAGACCAAGGATTCCGGAATCCCAGGGCTTTGTTCATCCCATGATTCACCATCCATGGGGGAGGGAAGGGTAACATACGAGTACAATACATTTATCTCACCCCCTTTAAAATCACGTAGGGGGGTGGTAACATACATTTATTTATACCCCGCAGAAACTGTAACTGACATTTTTGACGTCCCCCCCATTTTCCTCAGCTAAGAGGGTGGGGATGTGTTTTTCTTTCTACAGTAGAGTACAAGTACTGGAACACAGCAGTCGGAGCCAATCCCAATCAGTGATACCTCCACAAGCAAGCATAGCACTCATCTACAACCTATAACACTCACCTACTGGTAGAAGGCAATTATCTTCAAAACAACATCTGAATCTGATGTCTGCCAGACCCGGTTTGAGGCTTTCTTGAAGCCAACCAAAGTGCCGCTCCAATTTCAGTCGTTCGTACTGCTAATTTGGTAGAAAGGTTGGAGGTCCGAAGGTCCAATTGGTGTAATTTATATAATAGTGAGATGGTCGTTGCCTGGGAAGTCTCCCATGGTCTCCCTAGTTTAATCCCCAATTAGAGTGGTTTCTGCGTGATCCCCCAAAAAACAGTTCTCCTCTCACTCCTCTCCTCTCGACGCAAACGCGAAGATGGAGATGGAAAGTGGAGACCGTTTTGATTAATCTGCGGGGTCTGACACAACGGGATCTATCAGGCCTGACCGTCTGAACCAACAAGGGTTGAAACGGACTGGAACGTTCTTGATCTATATTGATTTGCTCTCCCAGCTTGACAAACTAGAGATCCCAGCTTGCATGTTCTTTTTGTGGGAGTCGAAACCCACATTCTCCTCAGTGGCTTTCAAGTTCTGCGCATATGCCATTTCTTTCTCAACCTTTCGCCTGAAAGACTTGGTCGACAAAAAGATGTCGATTTGGTCAACCACCTAGATTGTGCATGACGTGAGCGGACCGAAAATCTCTCTGTGCCGAAACCCCAGAATTCAGTAAAGGCACTCTTGGAACACCACTGCAAGCACTTAGCAGCTGATTGTACAGTCAAGCAATTTCCCAACCTTTCTTTACAATTCTGTGATCAGGCCAAAGCATCAGAATAGGAGTGGAAGTAACTGAACCAACCAAGCTCACGATGAACAACCAAGCGCAAGGTCTTCGGTGAATTTCAGGGGCTTCGCCCACCTTTCTGCAGCAAGATCAGCTTGCTCCTTCTTTGCCTTGGCATCATCCTCTGAAGCCTCATTGCGCTTTCGCCAAAATCTTGCTTTCCAATGTTGCTGCATTGCTTTCCGCTTCATGGCTTGAAGGATCGCAGGAAAACCGAGTCGATACATTATGGACATGGACCGGACCACGCCTTCGCCATTTGTGCCTCTGCAGTTCTCTCAGCCTGGCCGAGGTGCTGTACAGGAGAAGAGACGTTTCCTTCCCGCACATTTGGGTCTATCATGGTCCAACATCCTTGGCCAACACTGTTCCAATCAACGAAGGAATGCAGATGTCACAGGCAAATCCTGAAACCCAACACAAATCTAATCTGGAGCGAAGAGAAGGTCTTGTCTGAGTCCGGCCTGCTTCGCCTGCTTCTCCTCTGCGGCAATCTTCTTTGCCTAAACAGACAACATAACATGACCTACGAGTTGACCAAACCGAGTCGGCTGAACGGTCCTGATTTCCTTGGGAAGACTCGAATAACATCACATCACTGGTGTGCAAGCCCACCTCCGCACCAACGCATTTCCAGGCGCAAAAGAGTTCTTGATTGGACTGTGAGACACTCCCCCAAGGCCCGTCGTGAGTGCTGTCAAGTGGCTAAGTGCATGGCCTGTTGAGCCTGAAGTGCCTGTTCCTGTGCCTGCTGGGCCTGTTTCTGAGCACCCGCTACAATGTCCTGGCAGGCAAAATCGCTGGTCTTTCTTACCTGCAAAATATCTTTCTCTTTTTGAGCAAAAGAGGTATCTACCTGTATGTCTGATGATTCTCGAATCTCGAATGTATCTGATATGGACAAGGCTGGAAACATCACCCTCACTGACCCAGCGGCCTCACCGGATGGTGCGGGAGCCGGGGCAGAGCCCCGAAGCTTCTTGGGTGACTGCGTTGGTGCATCTGGCAGACCCCAAACACTGTCCTGGCAAAGAATGAATCACGAACACTCACTCAACACAACATGGAACAATGACCTACTCACAAGACTAACATGATGAATTAGGAGCAAAGGAGAAAGCACGTTTATATAAAGAACTCAATCAAGTCCCAAAGCTCCCTCCAGTTCATAGGCGTATCAGTAATGTATTACTGTAGTCAATTACTGTCTGTCGACAGCAGGCTTAGCTTTGGGGGGTTTGGGCGCTGTGGGTTTGTCCGAAAATCAACGGAAGATCCAGATTCATCAAAAAAAGTGTATATATATAATATACGGTGTAATTATACATGGTACTTGTATGCATTTGTGCTATATAAGTGTTCCGACACCCTGCAGGGTACAGGGACTTAGGTTCCCACAACCAAAGAGGGAGGGAGATTTCAAGATCCAAGCCCAGCGTGAGTGATACCGGTTTTGACCCACAACTTGATATCGTCTGGCGTTCGTAGCTTGCTGAGCACCCTGTCCGCTGCAGCCAACGCAACAGTGCTGAGGAAAAGGGTCAACTGCCTGCAGAGCGCAAAGCGCGAACCAAGTGCCCCTCTTCCAGAGGAAAAGCTGAAGGCTAGTGACGGACACCGGACAGCCACATACCGTACCAACCTATTTGCCAGAAGGGTGTTGGTTTCAACAAGCAAAAATGCACTTCCCAGAACCAAGGATTGGGGACTATCGGTTTCCCTTCAAAGCTCACAGAGTCCGCGCACCTCACCATGATGTTGTTTGAAAGCGACTCACGCAGCTATACCAGCTGATTGAGCCAAGCTCTGTGGAAATCATGACGCTGGGATCACTACTTACTTACTCTTAAGTTCTGAGAACATTGTTTTTAGCTGAAAAAAGTGCGTGGAAATTGAAGAATCGATGGGAAGGAAGCTCTTTGTGGCTCTGCGTGCATTGTGTGAGGCTCAAGAACAGGCCCACGACGTGGCACGACCAATGTCTTACGCTTTTGAGGGTCAGCATCTGCTGCACAACTGCACAACTCTGTGCCATATCATTCTTGCAATCTGTACAAGTCAACGTTCAGAACAACAACCACTGTAAGGTCTTCCAAGGCGCAGCATAAGGGTTGATCTCAAACAAAAGGCAAGGAGATATTCACCAAACGCTTTGACATATTTGGACCACTTGCTTGGAATCCTTTTGCATGCACAACATGCAGCTCAGCACTGCTGCTCACCATCGCGAAGTCACCAGTACATCCAGCCGCACCGGGTCACCCGGCAAAGAGCGCGCGGCACGCCGCCAGCGCGCTCCGCGTGACTCGGCCGTGGCGCTTGAGCCGCTGCAGGAGCTCGGCGTCCGAGAAGTCCCGGAGCGCCGTGGCGAAGGCCTGACATTTGTTCCTAGTAGCGAACATTGCTCCTAGTAGTACGGCCAGGAGCCCCTAGTAGCGTCCTTGCTTCTAGTAGCGATGCCCTTTGCTCCTAGTAGCGATGCCCTTTGCTCCTACTTAGTAGCGACGTTGCCCGAAGGCCAGTTCAATTCTACGTAGTAAAGTATGACTCGATTGTTTGCTGCAATTTGCAACGTCTCTCAGCAAGCAATTCCTAACACCGAGACGGGTCTATAAAAGGCCCTTCATTGCTACTCCCAGAGGTACAGTTACTCTCTGAAGTAAGGGTGGCCGGCTCGCACTGAGTCTGGATGATGTGGATCTCAATACCCCTTGCCCTCAGACTCTACCTTGCCTGCGGTGTCTGGAACTCATCCACCAGTGCCTGAAGCTGTCAAGGCAACAACCCTTCCAACATCTTCCAACTCTTCCCTCGACTCTTGCAACGAACAAAGGTACCATAAGGCAGCTGCAAAGAACAAGGACATCCAAAGGATACCTGGTGATAGATGGGTTGGATGCTTTACGGATTCTAAAGGACTGTCCCATGGTCCCCTGCTTTCGCCTCGCCTCTGTGGCCTCAGCACCACATCCCGGCACCACTCGCAGCATTCGGCCAAAGGCCTGCAGAATGGTCTCCGATGGCAGATGCGGCTTAAGGATCATGAAATGTTGTTTGCATTATCGTTGTGTTTTTTTGGGGTGGAGGTGGGGGTAGGCCGCTAAAGTAGCTAGGCAGCTAGTAGTTTAATTATAGCTACTAGTATGGACGCAGGATAGCTCGCGCTAATGATTTGGTTCCTACTTAATGTGGACAAACCCCATGATGTGGCACCTTGTGCTTGGGATTGTGCGTGAGCTTGGATCGAGGCACAGATACCGGTGGAGCTGCTTTGGGCTGCTGGACACAAAAGTGCAAGACACAAAAGACTTCTGAATAGATTGCAGGCAAATGCAGGAAGTTAGCATGACCCATCTGAGACGAGTGTGAGCCGTCTGTTCACTTCCTGCATTTCAAGCCTCAAAGACTCGCCGCTGGCCATGCTTCTTGGTGCGCTCCGCGAAATCCTCGTAGGAGACGTGGCCTGGATGCGAGCTGGGCCTTTTGAAGGGATTCGGGGATTCGTCTGCTTTGTGAGCCTATAGGGTCTGGTTTATTCAGCTGAACGGCGTGAATGCGACGCACATACGCCTGCTTCAAAGAAGGAACACTTGCCTTTGAGGTGGTTTGCTTCGACTAATCCAAACTACTACGGCAAGATCAAATTGCAGATCAGCGAACTGGGAGCTCCTTCTTTCCAGACCCGATGGGAGATATACCTAGTCAGACGCGGCTTTCAAACTAAGGCGCATGAGTCGATCTCAAAAGCCTGAAATACTAGTTACCAGTAACCACAGGCATCATGTTACCTAATTTCTCTCGATCTCTTCCGATGGATGTTGGCCCAAACCAGCGTCGTCGCTCCTTCGGAGCAGCGCTGCTTCTCGAGATTTTTGTGCAGGGCAGCTAGGAGGGCGATGCTGTGGGGCGTCGAGAGGGAGTGGAGGACATTGAAGCCTGCATGGCTGCAGCTTCTACCAAACAAGCTTAGAGGTTCTTCAGGCATGAATGCGCATGTGGTGTCATTGAGCCATGAGTCATTTTAAGTCTACGAGTCTACATTGAGTCTACATCTACTCCGTGGCATCCTTTTTTCAGTTCTGATTGTGGGAGAATGATTTCTGCAAATCTCCACATTCTCTGAACTCTTTCAGTCCCCCTTTTGACCAAATCACAATAAATCACCTCTCATGAAGCAATTAAAACGGTCCCATCTGCTCATCACCTGAGATCAGCTGCGTATGGCTGGCACTGCTGCTGAGTGCTTTTTCGCAGAGCCGTGGCCCGGCCAAGCGCTGCCCAAAGCCGCGGCCGGACCCACCCGGCGCAGTCGACCGAGAAGGACCTGGCGCCGGAGGTACGAATTTGGCAAAAAAAGATCCTCATAGCCAATAGCCAACTCTGGAAAAGCTTATATAGAACCATTGAACATAGTTGAACACCTGCAATGAAGTTGGATACGTTGTCGGGTTTGTGAAGAATGGCTTGTTGCCTAAGCTTAGCTTCAATAACTTCTGTTCCCTCCCAAGGACAGATGGCAAGCGATGCCAGGCAAACCCTCTTCCACTCCAAAGAGAGCACCACTCCCCTCGATGAGGAAGATCACACCCTCCAAGTTTGGCGCCTCCAGAAGTCGGCCTTTTTGTTCCTGGTGCCGAGCAATGCAGATCTAAAGAAGCTATCGTCAGATCCTAAAAACATCCGTTTAAACATTGTTATGTTATAAGTTATAATATAATATGTTATCATAGTTTAAGCACAGCCGGTGAAACACTTCACTGTGGCACGGCAGGATGTGGCCCAACCCCAGCATGAGTCAAAAGCCCCCCAAACAAGCCCATTGCTTCCTCGTAGCGGCCATCAAGAATTGATGAGCTGAGATCCGCGAAGGTCTTCCTCTCAACTATCCAACCTGCTACCAACTCCTGCGTGGCGCGTGCCGTTATTTGGAATCTTGGAATAGTTGGAATAGTCTGCCTACCAAACCTTTGGGCATGGCTCCCTGCAGATTTGTCATTGAATGGTTTTGCACAGTTTTACAAACTGCGTCATTGAGTCATTGAGGTCAATCTGCTGCACTCCACCAAAAAAGTGGTCTCTCCACGTCCAATGATGTGTGGTGGTTTGATTTCTGCACCGTAGCAAGATACCCTGTTTGGCAGGCCTCACCCTTCTCATTCCGCCAGATCCAAAGCACGTCTCCCAAGGGCAAAACGCGGGCCTGGACAGAGAGTCAAGGTGAATGGCACTGTCACGCGTCTTTATCTTTGACAGAACCTGTCCAAGTCAGATTGTGAAGGATCCTCAAGTTATATGGGTGTGTATTTTAATGGGGAGACGCCCTGGTCCAATGGGTTTTGGTCTGTTTCCCTTCTCCCTATTTTGTGTATGACATACCCGTATACTTACAACTTACAACATCTTACAACTTCATTGTCGAAGGTACGTAACTTACAGCCAGTAAGTATCACTGAAGCTCGCATCAAATCCGATCTCTGCCCCCTCTCCGCCCACGGCCTCCACGGCCTCAACGCCCAGGCGCTTTTGCAGCTCACTGAGCATGGCACCCTTCAGGGCATGCTCCTTGCTAGCACCCACCTGCGACGCACAGCTGGATAAACCAGACAGGCTATAGCATGCTATGGCTATACGAACACATGTGCAGCTTGGAAACGGATGGTCCAAAAGCAGTTTCCAAGATTGGATTCAAAGCAGCTTGCATGATGGAGGCCATCCAACCTACTAGCGATGGCCTCCAACCTACTAGCCACTTTGAATCCAATCTGATTCGACTGGCTTTCAATTGAGAAGCTAGTTTGGCTACTGCTGCTACTGCCTGTTTGAACGTTCACCCTGCCATCGACCCTTGGCCTCCCGGTGGTCCAGGAGCAGCACCTGAGAATGTCTTGGGAAGCACGGGTCTCGATTCAAGAGTTGTCTATTGGTGGATTTCTGCTGCATCAAAATCTTGCAACAAACACATGTGCCGTGTTTCTTGGCTCTTGGTCACGTCCTGGATCAGAATCAGAGGACGAGCTGTGCATGTCCAAAGGTGGGCGACCTGTTACCAAGACCAACATGACTCAATCGCATCATATGATCATCTTATATCAGCTGAATCTTTTTCACCAGTTGGATACAAAAGCTTGGAAAATCTACTGTGTCCCTGGGCGCCTCCTACTCTGATTCCACCAGAAATACAATACACCTTTTCGCACCCCCAGGCGATCTCCCCATGCCTCATATGAGGCAAAACACACAACGCCCAGATTGAATATATGTGAATGGAAAGAAATGCAAAAAAGACATGGACATTCAATTAACCTGTGCAGTTCCGTGGACCCCCATTGAGATCATTGAGACATGCCGTGGAGCGAAATGGCGTACCTTGCGCTTACCCTGCCATTGCGCCAAAGCACCAGCTTGCCCGGTACACTGAAGCTGCGCAGCTCCAGTGGCTCCTTCCGACTCGCCAGGCGCGCCAGATGTCGAGGCTCAGGCTCCGAGCCTGAGAAACGCTGGCGAGGTTTTGGATCTTCATAGCTTCTTGTTACTACTAGTAAGGCACTTGTTACTTAGTAGCGATGCACTTGTTCCTAGTAGCTTCAGACTGGACTGGATCGAGGTTTTGAGACTGCGCTGCTACGTTTTTGGAGGTTTGGTATCGATCTTCAGTTCGACCTGGTTTTGTGAGATGCCAGGTGCTCCTGGTTTTGCCAGGGTCAGTTGGTGTGGGACAAGCATTGGAGTATGGGCACAGCTCACTTTTGCCGCAATTCCTTCGGATCTGTGGCACACTTCCGACTGACAAGAGCTACTGCTCTACTATGCAGAAAGACTCCAAGGCCCCAAGGCTCAGCCGCAAGGGCTCTGAGTGTGATCCGTCCTCAACAATCTTGGGACCAGATGGTTTTGACTGGGCACTCTGCAAACCAGGCCAAGGAGAGGTCTGTCACTTCGTGACAGGCCACGTGAACATGTCTAGAGCACTTTGGCACACATTAGCTGGAAGCATCATGACCACATGCCTTCCATGCTGGCCCAGGGACGTGGTGGCCCATCTGACTAATCTCTTCGAAGCAAATGAAGATGTCGTGTCGTTCAGCTCTTTAGAAGTTTTTAGAATGGGTTCCTTCTACAACAGCGCCACAAATCAGCCACCACATGGGAAAAAAGCAGCATGCGGCCGGCGGCCAGACGCTAGCGTCTGATAATAACTCTAGTGAAACCCTCGCCTACCTACCAGACCTACTCTGCCCCAGAAGGAGAGAAAAAACTGAGCTGAAGGCCACGAGGTCGAACAATAAATTGGCGTGGAATAGAATGGAATCAGTCATGACATGTCAGGTGCTTAATCAACTGCTCAGTTGTTCCGTACGAGTCCTTGTGTGCTAAATGGCCCTTTCATGGACAATCCATACATGACCAAAGTAGTCATGGACTATGAGCACAGCACAACAAGTCTGTTGGTCGAAGGACTATCCTGTTCCACAAATGTTCTTATGATGACTACTTACAACAGGGGAGACTGCCTGCATGAAAAAATGATGTGGTATTGATTGGTACGTGCCTGGTGGCCATCCCACAAAAAGAAAGTATTGCACTCACAGCACGCAAGTATGTTCCGCGTAGCGAGAGGAAACCAGTTTTCTTCCCAAAATGGGCCACACGAACCATGTGTGCAACACAGTCTGTCACTGCACGAGTACTTCACCAACCTCTCTTCAGCTGGATGATCTCTCCTCAGATGCTGCTAAGCTTTCGTTTAATGAGATCTACAATGTCCTCCTTTACCATGCCACAGGTGGGATACTTCACATTCGCTTCCGGATGTCCACGCAACGCACTCTGGAGTGAGGTTCGAGTGATGGGCCGGAAGATCACCTCAGCGGCGGGCGGATTCATCTCGTTCTCAGGACGAAAATGTCAAGTCCGTAGGGCTTTTAGAAACGAAGCTACGGTTTCGAAAAACTCAACCTCAAGGATTGTTCATGAGAATTTATCTTCTGTGGATTTGGAGTGTTTGTGACCAATAGAATCAATATATAATATATTTTCGCCTCCTACGAAAGTTGCTCACGCTCACTCTCTTTCTTTTTCACTGGGGATGCGAACGGTGCAGGTAATCTGCTTTGTATATCTGGTCTTGCATCCTTCTTACTTACTTCTGTACACGTCACTTATTCTATACATCACATGCACTAACTTATGGAAAATCTTTGGTAACCTTTAAAAACGACTTGGACCTGAACTCATCCACTATCATCTAGACTACCCGGATCACTCCCCATGAATTGTAGTCGAGCTCACATCCACTCTGACACAGTCGATCGTCTCGTACACCTCTTTCCACTTCAGCCTTGACGGGGCGTCCGCGACGTTGCTGGGTGATGGAACCTTGCTATACCAGTTCAAGCTATTTGCATATGCATCCTGCAACATAGCCTCAACCAGCATGGTCCTACTTGCTATCGACTTGGTGACACCTGTCACCAGAGCTTCCTTCACTCCTTCATTGTCTATGAAGTAGAGCACCCGGGCTCCTTGAGTCACCTCTTTGAAGTCTTTCTTGACCACTACCACTGGAAGAAGCTCCGCTTGAGTGATAACTTGCTCATGACCATGTGCACGCCACGTGTCAACTATCCACTCTGGGACTGTGAAGCCAAAAGCAAGGGGTCTCGCAAGTTTAGGTGAAAAGATCACAGCACCACACGATGCAACTCCCTGCTCATAGGCCCCGTCTGTGAAGACTAGACAGGGTGGCTCCTTACCTAGAACGTCCAACCTTCTGGGTGGTGCACTCCTCAACAGCTTCGCTGCCAGGCCTAGGGCCTCCTCAATCTCGCTCGTCACATGGCGCACGGCCTTGGTCATCATGGCCCTCCTCTTCGCCGGCTCCATGATTGGGGCCAGCCACCTTCCGCTGCACTGTGCTTCTGCAAAGTTCAACCTGCCATACACCTTAGCAGCCGTGGCCGGAGGAAAGGTGTTCAAGTCCTTCATGTCTACAATTGCTGACTCCAGTCCGTCCACTCTTTCTGCCTTGTTCTTCACCAGGACAATGCTGTCATGGGACTGGGTCAAATCAATCACTCCTCTTCTTAGGCTCCTCAGCAATGCCCCACCCTAGTGTCCTGAAGGCCTCCTCCATCACCACCTGGGACCTGATTGCCATGGACTCCACATCGATGTGGGGGTAGTCATCGAAGTAGTTCACTACAGGCATCAGGAAAAACCTCTGCGTGATGTCTCTTAGTGCCCTTGCTACTCTATTGAAAGCCATGACTGCCCCCGTGGCCCCAAAAGGAAGCACATACGACACGAAGAACTTCACTACGTCCTCTGCCGGATCTAGCACTGCAATCACAGCATTACTCCGGTCGACTGGCGACAAAGCAAGCTGTTTGTAGGCCGACTTTAGATCCAAACATCTACCACTCAACTTCAGCCCTCTTCCTCTAAACTCTTCCGCCTTGCTGCCCCTTAGGGTCATCCCCGACGAAAGCTGCACTTGAACCTCGTTGCCCACTCCTCCAAACACCCTGGTCCACGCCGCCGCCAACGAGACCACCTCATCGACGCCACCCAGGTCTAACTTCTCGCCTGGGCCGTAGCATTGGTTCACTGCGAACTCGCTCAAGTCGTCTATGTTCCTCACCTTCTGACCTTGCACTATGCCGAACCTGCGGCTGGGGGTCCACAAAGGTCCCATTTTCCCACTCACCTCTGCTGCCGTCAACGGTCCCTCAAGCCAACCTTTGCGCACTTCGCTGAGAGTCGCTTCCCAGACTTCCTGGGCAACATCGACACAACCCTCACCTACTTCCGCACTCCTGCTCGACATGTGTCTTGGAACTCTACTAGCCACCTCCTCCTGAGCTGACTTCGAACTCCTCCACAAGTCTTCCCTTTCCAGAAGAGGGGGCTTACATTCAGGTGCGAAACACCCCGTGTCTTTGCCCTCACCCGTGATGTTCATGCCTTTGCAGATGTCGTCGACCAGGGTCTTGTCCCCGTAACCCACAATCTTGATCATCTCATCTAACAGCAACAGTTTCTTGGGCACCAACACCTCTGCCACTTTAGGTTCCATGCTTGCATGCAACTCTTGTTCTCTACTCTCCAACTCCCGGGCTTTCTGCTTCATCCACCTGACCTCTCTTCATGAATGGCCTCGGTCCCTTTGGTGATCACTTGGTACATGCCATCCAAAACATGGTCCGGCATCTGGAAGGAGGAGTCAAATGGGTGTTCCAGCAACTTTGCTCTCCTAACTGCTTCAAGTGGGGTCATGGGGATGCCAATGCAAACTGTCCTCTGACTGCCGTCCCCGACTTCTTCCCCCTGATTGGACGGCAAATTGTGCAAAATTCGAGTACCAGGAGGAAAAACATGGTTGTTGACAACATGTTCACGCTGCGATCGACCGTGCCAGCAACGCAGGGTCCGTAGATCGTCATGGGCAGAGACTTGGATCTCTACCACCTGCCCATCCTCAAGCAACATCGCCAAGGCCTTGCGGCCTCGGGGTTGTCGACCAGCGGCTACTCGCCACCCGGAGGTGCCTGGAGGGCAGCAGGTGTAGATCTAGGTTAAATGTTCACTGGGTATCCTTGTTGTTTGGCAAGCTTGCTGATGATGATTGCCACCCGTTGGCACAACAACTTGCGGTGTCATACTGCCATCGACCATCCAGGGACTTACTTACTTTCCAGGCTTTGTGCTCATGGGAACGATCACACATGACTCCAAGCTGGCATAGTTCCCTGCAGTTGTGCAACAAAGATGTCTTCTTATCTCTGCTACCCCCGTGCATACACACTTGAAAGGTTGTGAAGTATACTCCAGGAATGCTGAACAAGTCCTTGATACACGGAACTTGCCACACGTAACTGTTCGTGGGATTCTCAATGAACACGTATGTACCATGTTGATGGGCATAAGCAAATACTCGTGCTGCAACATAGTAACATGCATTGGCCTGCTCGACTCGCGCCCGGTCCCTCCCTTGAAGATGAGGTAGTCCGCTTGGATACTCTTCACTGCGCAGGGGAGCCGGAGACGGTACTCCTAGCCGTTGGAGCCAGCGAGGGATGGGTTTGTCTCGAGCTCTGGACGATGTTCCGCATGGAGGGGCCATCGGGATGAAGAAGACCGCACCTCCATCGATCTTCTGCTCGATATACTTCGCACTGGATTCTTTGGATAAGTTCAAAACTATACACGGTCCAACTCTATTCTTGCACATCTCGTGATCAATCCCTAATGCAGCAAAACCATGTGACTTAAGACACTTACTTAACTTACAAGACCCAGCAAACATTTCAAATGCACTTGGCGGCAATCCGCTTGACATTTTCATTCAGCTTGCCAGGGTCTTGCCTGGAAAATTTGAAATCATCTGTACAAGTTTTGGGCATGGCATCGTCTGCCTTGCTTGCATCCGGCGCTACTTCCACTTGCGTGGCATCTGTGCTCTCTTCGGGCTCTTGTCTGCTGACATTG